GGTTACTGTATTAGCCACTGTTTTGGAAGTAGTTCGTTATATAGCAGTAAGATTCACAGATAACCAAAACAGCATGATTGTACATAGATATGTAGATAGGTAAGTGTTTGTTACCTGCTTGGTTTTGGGCAAAGTTCCAGAAAGATAAGGTTTCTGGTAGCCATGTTCCAGAAAGGTAAGATGTCCTTTCCTTTTTTTTTTTTTTTTTAAATTAAGTTCTCATAAATAGAAGGAAAGCTACATATCTGGGTACAGCACAATAGGGAAAGGAAGGTATTGAAATTATGGTGACATGGTGACATGTGGTTTTTAACCTATCAGCTTATATACTATATTATATATACTATATGTAATGTATATACTATAGATATAACATGCATATATATATATATATATATAGAATAACTTACTAATGTTATGCAGCCTGTCAGTATATTTTTAAAAGGAGGGATCTAAGTGTAAGCATTTCATATTTAATCAAATTATTTCTAACTAGTAACTGAATAGGATTATCTGCTGGATCCATTAAAAGACTAATGTTTATCATATTACTAACTTTGTTAGTGGCCCAGGTATGAGGTAATGGAAAGAACTCACAACTGGGTAACAGAAGACTGAGTTCTGGGTCCGGGCTGAACCTCACTAGCAAGTCACTAAATCTCATTCATGTCTCAAATACACGTATCACCTTCCCTGACACCCTACCTAAAACAGCCACCCGGTCTGTCCTATCCTTTACCTGGCTTCACTTTTTTTTCATAGTACTTCTTGCTATTGGTTTGTTTATTATTCAGTTGTCTGTCTCCACTAGTAGAATATAAGCTCCACGAGATAACATAGATCATGGGTTCTCAACCTGTGGGTTGCGACCCACAGGAACTGTATTAAAGGGCTGCGGCATCAGGAAGGTTGAGAACCACTGACATAGATGAAGTAACAGTGACTTGAAACTAGAAAACAGTGAAATAACAAGGCTCAGAATGTTCAGTCAACATGTCTAGAGTGCGTACCGAGCGTGCCCCCTGCTTCATATGCAGTACCTCCTGCAGCTCTCCCAGCTGCCTTTGAGATCAGTATAAATTACCATCTCCACCTGACAGGTGGGGAAACTGAGGCTTTCAGAGGAGAAGGGACCTGCCCAAGGTCACTCAGCTAGTAAGTGGCAGACTAGGATTTAAGTGTTTCTTTTTTTCTCTTAATTCCTGTAACACTTAGGGAGAGAATTCAAAAACTGTTTAAGAAAACAAAATAGGCTCAGCATCTGTGGCTCAAGCGGCTAAGGCGCCAGCCACATACACCTAAGGTGGCGGGTTCGAATCCCCAGCCCGGGCCCGCCAAACAACAATGATGGCTGCAACCAAAAAATGGCCAGGCATTGTGGTGGGCGCCTGTAGTCCCCGCTACTTGGGAGGCTGAGGCAGGAGACTCGCTTGAGCCCAGGAGTTGGAGGTTGCTGTGAGTGTGATGCCATGGCACTCTACACAGGGGGATAGCTTGAGGCTCCGTCTCAAAAAAAACAAAACAAAACAAAACAAAACAAAAACCACTTGCCACTGTTGGTGGCATTGTAAAATGGTACAACTGCTAAGGAAAACAGTATAGAGGTTCTTCAAAAAATACATAGATCTGGCGTCCCACTTCTGAGTATATATCCAAAATAATTGGAAGTAAGGTCTTAAAGACATAGTTATACACTCATATCCACAGCAGCTCTATTCCCAATAGCCTAGATAGAGGCGACACCAATGCTCACTGACAGATGAATGGAGAAATAAAATACGACGAACACATGCAATGGAACATTATTCATCCTTAGAAAAGGAAGGGAATACTGTCACATGCTACAGCAGAGATAAACCTTGAGGACGCTATAGTAAGCAAAATAAACCAGTCACGAAAAGACAAATACTGTATGATACCACGTAGATGAGGTACCCAGAGTAGTCATATTAATAAAAACAGAAAGATGAGTGGTAGTTACTAGGGGCTGGTGGGAAGAGGGAAGAGGAAGTTGTTGTTTAATGGATACAGAGTTTCAGATTTGCAAGATAAAAAAAGTCCCAGAGACTTGTTTTACAATAATATGAATATACTTAACCCCACCGAACTGTACCTTAAAAATGGTTAAGATGGTAAATTTTATGTTATAGACTTTTTTACCACAATAAAAAAACACATACCCACCCTCCAAACCCTCACCTATTTTATATGTAGAAAAGAGATTACTTTTCTTTGCAAGAGTACTAAAGCAGGGGTTAAAAAGAACAGGTGTATCGGTTATTCAAATCACACTGTTATGTAAAATAAAACTATTTTCCTACCCCAGAGGAAGTGTTCCAACAACATCCACATTGTATGATTCTTTCAAGTTAAACCCAGCTGAAATGCCAGTTCCCATTACCACCTAAAACAGACACAAATTCAAATGCACGTTTAGAAAGGAATATTCAAATGTCAGAAAAATGAGCTTCAAAGAATTTATCGGCCAAGCCAAATTTATTATCATTTTTTAACATTCAGATTTAAAAAGAATTATAATTATTAGCTGCCAGTAATTCTAACTTCTCTTAATGACTCTAGCCCACATAATTAAAGGGGACTCTATAGTTTCTTTGCAGCCTGGAATTTTCCTCTTACCTTGATCTGTTCCATGCTGGGGTTTGGCTAGTTAGTTGCAACTGGAAAGGGGCATAAAACCTCTCAGAGGTTGACCTTTCCTCTTGGGGAGGTGAATCAAGTCCTTGGCCAAGATATTATGAATAAAAGATGACTGAATGTGAATTGTGGGAGTGGTACAAGGACAAGTATATCATTATAAAATGTATGTTTGGGTTTAGACTCTTCCCCTGCGGATCCTGTTTCCAGGATAGCAGCAGCTGGTATAGAGGTTTCCACCCCCTGTAGCTGTCTTCTCTGTCTCTGAGTCAGGATCAGAGCGGAACCACACATCACACAGAGTGTCACTGTATATAAGGCCATCCTGGATTGTCAGGGCATAGATTTACTTGGGGTATAAAGTGCAACCTTTAGTGAACTACAAGAAGAAAAACACAGGGCCTGATGGGGTGGCCGACACCTGTAATCCTAGCACTCTGGGAGGCTGGGGGGGGGTGGATCACTGGAGCCCAAAGTTTGAGACCAGCCTGAACAAGAGTGAGACCCTGTCTCTACAAATAAACAAACAACCCCCCCAAACTGAACAAACAAACTCAAATAAAAACAAAAACACACACACAAAAAAAATCGTTGCCTATTGGGAGTAAGGAAAAAAATAGAGAAAAAATTACAAAAAAAAAAAAGATGAAGAAGAAAAACATAATAGCAGGTAATATAGCAAATTGCTTCATGCCCAGGATCTATTGCTTTTGGAGCTGTTTGAGTGGGTTGTTCAGGAGAGAAGGAATAATGGCCGGCCAGGGAAGGGTGGTGGCTGTTGCCAGAAACCAATCATAAGGCAAGTTTATTGCTACATGTCAGAGACAGCGGCCTGAGAGAAGAAAGACAGGGTATTTCTGGTTCCTTGGATGGAAAGACCCTTTTCTCTTGGTGGCAATTATGTTTTCAACCTCAGTTACATGTTTTTTGTGCATCTCAAACTGGTGGAGTTTCTTTTTTTTTTTTTTGAGACAAAGCCTCAAGCTATCCCCCTGGGTAGAGTGCCATGGGTTCACTGCTCACAGCAACCTCCAACTCCTGGGCTCAAGCAAGTCTCCTGCCTCAGCCTCCCAAGTAGCTGGGACCACAGGCGCCCGCCACAGCGCCTGGCTATTTTTTGGTTGCAGCCGTCATTGTTGTTTGGCGGGCCTGGGCTGGATTCGAACCCGCCACCTTAGGTGTATGTGGCTGGCGCCTTAACTGCTTGAGCCACAGGTGCTGAGCCACAAACTGGTGGCGTTTCTTAGCTTATTAAAATCCACAAGGTTTCAGCACAATGTCTAGGACTTGGATCTGATTTGACTAATACTTAAAAGCAATTCACGAACATTTCTTTTTTCACGAGCATTTTGGGACTGGAATTAAAACACAAAATATCATAACCTAAAAAAGAAAATCCACAGGATACATATGGCTCAAGTCTCTGGAGCCAACTACTTACCACTGCCCCAATTTTCTGTAAGTAGTAAACAATTGAAACCATTGTTTGCCTATCGACATAAATGTATTATAAAAGAGTACTCAAAATTCACAAAAATGTTTTTATGACAAAAAATAAATTTTATGTTTAAGAATAGTTATAAAGATTATGTCCCCAAACTTTCCAGTATGGCTTTTCTCTCCTTTGTTCTAAAGAGCACTTAGTTAAGAAGTTTAAAAAATGCTGGTTTCAGGTATTCACTAATTCACTAAAGACTGTAAATACAGTGATAGAATTCTGAAAAACTGTACCCCAGGGACACAAGAAGGACTCTTTAAAGGGAATCTGGGAAACAGAACTAGTAACCCAGGGCAGGAGAGGCAGCCTTCATCATTTTCTTCAGAATTACAGCTTGCCTACCTTCTTTCCCTTTCAAAGGCACTCAAAACTTCTTGTACTCTAAGTAGAAACAGGAACTCTGAGCTCAGTCCCAGTAAGAAAAGAGGCTTTAAACTTGTGTAGAGATAGGGGTTTTGGGTTGTTTTTGCCTGTTTTTTAAAATTAAAATTTATATTTTTATTTCTGGTTAATGTGAGGGTACAAATAAGTAGGTTACAATGTTTGCATTTGTTAGGTAGAGTCCCTCTTGTAGTGTGTCCCGTGCCCAAGAGGTGTGCCATACACCCTTACCTTGTGCCCATTAAGTGGGAGCACACCAATCCCCTTCCCTGCTCCCCTTTTCCCCCTCCCTCCTACTTGAATTGAATTGAATTTTTCTCATGTATTAGATCATCTACTGGCTTCATATTAGTTTGAATATATTGGATTTCTGCTTTTCCATTCTTGTGATACTTGACTAAGAAGAATGTGTTTCAACTCTATCCAGGTTAATATAAAAGATGTAAAGTATTTGCCTGTTAAAAGGTACTAGTACAAAGTAGATAAGACCAAGGCAAGGAAAAGGATCAAAAAGATTGGTTTCCTGGTGAACTATACCAGTCACTTGTTTTCATAGCTAGAAATTTTAGTCTTTGCTAAATTTGGATCAGACTTCTGTACTTTTTATTTTTTATCCCTGTGACTCCCCTCCCCCCACCCCAAAGGAGACCCAGGGTGCCAAGTCACTGGGACCCGGTGGGTAAACGGGTCTGGCAAACAGCGACACCTATTGGACACTGTGCAAGCTTCTAGTTAGAGGAAGTTTGCAGTTTTAACATGAGTTTCCACTGTGCTCCTTTCAATAATGCCTTTCTCTTTGTAAAGCTGGGTGTTCTGTGGTAGCTGTGATTAAAAAGCAGGAACCATGCAAAGAAGAAATGAGGGTAGCAGGGTCCAATCTGACTGTGAGGTTTGAGGACTTGTGTGGTGTGCACCAGGCACACACATTTCATGAATAAATAATAGTGGTTACTTATGAACATAATAAAATACTTTTTATTCCAATTCATGTGTGTATTTTTACAAACAGCCAATAAATTGTTAGTCATAAGTATGTAAGGTGTTTGGATCTAACTACTTAATAAATGGAACTGTGAGACATTTCTTTTGGCTTAGGAGTGCCAAGGAACTGAGAAAGTTTAGGAACATTTATCTTTTCAAAAGGGAAATAGTTTTATTTTTCCCATGTTATTAAAGTAATGGGTGCTCCTGATAAAACAAATAAATAATAAATATTTGGGGAAACAAATGCTCCATAATCCCATCACTCAGGGATAATGTTAAAATTTTCACCTATAGGTGAAATATGATCTTCACCTATATTTGGAAAAATCATCTGTATCTATGTTACAATTATTTTTCTTTTTACTATTTTTGTCAATGAACTTGTAAATGTTCTCTTTAACAAATTCCAACCTTCTTTTGGCAGAAATGAGAGGGGAAAAAAAAGACCCTGTGACTCCCGGTCCCTCTTTCATCCACTTCAGAATCCCTCACAGAGACAGGTGTGTGTGGCTGTTGAAGTTGGACGGCTCATGGCCTCGAGTTGACTTACCGCAAAGAACTCTAAGGGAATGGGTGCTGGCAATTTCTCTTTAAATCTTTCATTAAACTCCTTGCCACCCAACAGCAAACCAAAAACCATCAGACCGACGCCTAGAGAACACACGTTGAGGTTTTTAACATTCTGCAACACAGCAACTGTACTCTGTAACACAGGAACACTGGATGTTTACATCAAGAAATGGCCCCCAAGGAGACACTCAGTGCACTAATTCAGACCAGTCATCCCATTACTGGGCGTTTCTGTTTAAAAGTTCTCAGGCAGAAACTTCTTCCTTTGTGGTTTTTACCAATTAGGAGGCATTTGATGCTGATGTTTCATTATAATATTTAGCATTTAGAAAAAGAAACTGAAGCTGAGTCCTGAGCATTAGGAAAGAATTATGAGTTGATAACAACAAAAGATAAAACACATAGAAAAGGTTTTAGAAGCTCAAAGAAGGAGAAATTGTTGTTAGAAGAAGAAAGAAATCAGATGGACTTTGAATCACAAGTGTGCCAAAGTTTGGAGAGTTAGAGAAGAAAGCCACTTCATTACCCTATAGGGTTATGGTTTGGGTACCCCAAATACAGTCAGTTCCCATTAAAAACAAAACAGACTTCCTACTCCTCATTTCTTAGTGACAAGGCATTTTAAGAGGTCTCACAGCAAGAACTATGCTATCTATTGTGGGAAACTAAGAATTTAGTTATTTAGGGGATATTCCTATTTGAATCCGTTCTAGTCAATCAAGAATTCAATGTTACTTCCTCAGACATACATTACTTCCTGAGTTTCCTAGACCCTTAATCTAAAGGTTTCCCTATTCATCTTTCAGAGCAGCCTGTACCTATTCTTCATCGCACTTAACACAAACTATAATTAATTACATGTGTATGCAATTAATGTTTTAATAACTGTTGTCCCATTGGACTGTATGTGTTCTGCTCACTGCTGTGTCTCTATGCCTCGCGCAGATTCTGGGGCATCAATACCTATGAAGGCTGCAGCCCTTACTTTCCAAGGACGGCTTCAGCAGCATCTCAGAAGTTTTGATATGTAGTACTTTCACTGTTGATTAATTTGAATCATTTTCTAATTCTTCATCCACAGGTAATTTAGAAGTGTGCTTTTCACAATAATATATTCTAAAAGTTTGCTTACAAAGGTAATTCTATGTTAGAAACCGCCATTCACTACAATAAAACTGTTTATGATGCATCTTTTTTTTTTTTTTTTTTTTTTTTTTTTTTTTTTTTTGAGACAGAGTCTCACTATGTTGCCCTCGGTAGAGTGCTGTAGCATCACAGTTCACAGCAACCTCAAACTCTTGGACTTAAGCAATTCTCTTGCCTCAGCCTCCCAAGTAGCTAGGACTATAAGCACCTGACACAATACCAACTATTTTTTTGTTGTAGTTGTCATTGTTGTTTAGCAGGCCTGGGCCAGGCTCGAACCCGCCAGCCTTGGTATACGTGGCCAGTGCCCTACTCACTGAGCCCGCTGAGCCCCATGATGCATCTTTAAAAAAAAGAAATGGGGTGTTTTTGGTTCTAACTGTATGGGGATCCTAAAGATATATTTAATTTTCCATTTCTAATTATACTGCATTGCATGAAAAGATACTGAATTTTTAGAACCTGTGATCAAATTCACAAAAATTTCAACATGATCAGTTATTACCATTGATCCCCAAGTGCTTGCAAATAATTTATATATTCTCTGAGTTGGGCACAGGGTATATATATTTTTATTAAACTCATGAATTAGGTTTTATAGCCTTTTTTCTGGTCTGCTTATCAATTTTGGAGAGAGCTATGTTCTTCTACTATTCCTTTACATTATTTGTTAGTTTCCCAAAAGAACATGATTTGGTCATAGGAAAAAGCTCTCTCTTCACCTAGAATGATGGTGCAGTTACCAAACAAAGACCCAGCAAAAAAGTTCTTATGAAGTAGGCAATATCACATACTAATAATGTGAGATTTTTGAGGTTTAATCTTTGTAGCCCTTTTCTCAGAAAGCCTTAGAATAACTGAATCTTCCCCTTTTATAGAAATTCTTGGAAAAAAAGAAATATGCGCCTTGAAGGTAAAAGAGATAAAGAAGTGTGTATGTGTCTGTGTGTGTGTGTGTGACAAAAGCAAGTACCAGGGGGCCAGGCAGTTGCCTACTTACATATACCACTGAAAAGATCCCACTGTACCGCTTTGTTTTGACTCCAAACAGGTATTTTAGCATGGAGGTGAAGACATGCACGGCCGCTGCGGTGGTGAACCCACGGACCAGAGGCTCTGTGAGATAGATGGCCACAAATCCGAACCTGCAGACACCTAGGCAAAACTATTTTTTTAATGACAAAGAAACAAATAAATCACATGATAGATCAGGAAGTTATGACCAACAAAAACATGTACAAATTCTTCCTGGATCACTTTCTACAAACTTTCACCTGTGGTAGTAAGCCACTAACAAACCAACCAAGCAGCTTGGAGCTCCACAGAACACTGTCCGCACTCAGGCCTGCCCTGTCCCGTGGAACTGAGGACCTGCTGAGTCACGTAGACCATTGTGCATGATCGCAGGCTGTTTCTTCCAAGCTGATAGGGATGCCCTCTTCCAGGACTAACCAATCCTGCTATTTCTAGTTTGTCTTGCTTTTGGGGTCTCTAAAGTAGCCAATGGAAACTTGCTCGCGGCTCGGCGCCTGTAGCTCAACCGGCTAAGGCGCCAGCCACGTACACCTAAGGTGGCGGGTTCGAATCCCCAGCCCGGACCCGCCAAACAACAATGATGGCTGCAACCAAAAAATAGCCGGGCGTTGTGGCGGGCGCCTGTGGTCCCAGCTACTTGGGAGGCAGAGGCAGGAGACTCGCTTGAGCCCAGGAATTGGAGGTTGCTGTGAGCTGTAATGCCACGGCACTCTACCCAGGGCGACAGCTTGAGGCTCTGTCTCAAAAAAAAAAAAAAAAAGAAAGAAACTTGCTCGCCAGTTGTGCATAGTTGTGAATGAGGCCTGCCGTGGGACTGGAGTTGCTGCGTGCTGGGAACCCTGAGCTCTGATGAACCCTGAGCTCTGGAGTCTTGCTGGCTGCCTCTGCCTTCCATGTAGGAAGACCAGCCAAAAGCACTCAGCAGATAACTATGACATTAACAGATGAGAGTCCTCTTCCCCATCTTTGAGTCTCACCTGAATGATTCCTGAGAGTAAGGTCACAGACATGGCAACTTTCACTCTCAGGGCATCTCTGGCTTCAGTGCCATTGGTTGCATTTACTCCTCCTGGGATGACTATATCGTCTGGTACTAATCGAACAGCCACACCACCAATCATCAGGCTAATAACAGCAAAAGGACCTGGAATAGTGAAGCATGAATGATCCGTGTTCAGGGGGCTAAGGAAACTACCTTCACAGTGTCTAGTGTGGTTGCTGCTCACACACTAAGGGACACAGGTGTGGCCAATAGTCACCCTTGAAAGACGACTGCACTGCCATCCTGTAGTATCCTGCCCCCGGGGTGCGGGAAATGGTGTGTGCAGGCTGCATTTTCCAAAAATGACCACAGCAATATCTCAAATGCCACATACTCTCCTTGACATTTCCCCAACAAGAGATGGAGTCTAATTCCCCCTCCTTGAATAAGGATAGGCTTGTGACTTGTGAATAGCCAAAAAAAGAAAAAAAATAGTGGAAGTGACCCTGTGTGACTTTTGGGGCTAGGTATTAGATGGCAATGCAGCTTCTACCTGAGAGGTGTAGCTGGAGCCCCATGTGTAAGAAAGTTTCATCTGGGCCACATGGAAAATTCCTGGGACCACATGGAGAGAGAAGGGAGGGAAGAGAGGCGAGAGGGGGGAAGAATTGTCCAGACTAGCTTCCCAAATCCTGACCTGCAGGGACCATGAGAGAGAATAAAATGATCGTTATGTTAAGCTGCCAAATTTGGGGACTACCTGTTACCCAGCAATAGATATCTGAAATGTCATGTGTGTGTTTGATGGTGGTAGCTGCATGGGGCACCCACACTATTAGGAAATGCATATGCTTCTGATAAACTAAGGAGAAAGCATGTAAAATATAATGAAGAGCCTAAAATATAATGAAAATAAAATACATGCATAGAAATTAGGAACTTGAAGTATTACTATTGTAATAAAAAGAAAAGTCAGATGCAAGCACATTATTATAAGAAATAAAGTACTGATCTCATTTTACAGATGTCAACCATTGCTCTTACACAAGAAAATTGTCTTTTTAAAAATTATCCCAAGATAAGGAGAAAGCATAAGCACTAGAAATCTAGTACTAGGAGGGATGTATTTTTTTAAAGCTCTTTTTATGTATGCAGTAACTAGAGGTATTAAGCAGATTTTTAATAACAACCATGCTATTTCTTTGGCATACTACAAATCTTGGAAATTCAAAAGGAAAGGTACAAGAATATTGAGCATAAGCTTTTACCTATGGATATGTGTCTGGAGGTTCCAAAAAAGCAATACATGATAACAGGATAAAATGAAGAGTACAGGCCAAATACCGGGGGTACCGCTGCCAGCATTGCGAAGGCTAAGCCTGTGGGGCGAGAGACCAAACAGAAATGGGGAAGTCTTTTTTAAAAAAAAAATAAAAAAGAAGAAAAAAAAAGAAATGGGGAGGTCATTAGAGAACACAGGGGTCACGTGCATTTTTCTCTTGGGTCTTCATCTCTGATAGACAAGTGAAACTCATTGGAATTTAAGTTGATGTGTTTAACCTTCTCCTATCCAGTCCTGCATGCAATCTTACACTAGTGCTTACAGAGTCCAGGCTCAGACAGTTTTTTCTCATCTTCTCCTTTCTGTCAGTGGATGGATTTTTTGCTTTCTGTTTTATTCTTTTGCAGAATAGATACCCCTATCTACTAAAAAAGTCTTACTTAATAGGCGCAGCTGCAATCTGGTGTTGATGAATAAACGCTGGCTCCTTCTCTACTGGGAATGGAGCATTTGGTCAGTTCTCTGGAGACCCCTTTGCAGTAAGAAACTCCCACCATACTATTCCCTGGCTTATGTAACATCTCTCCCCTGACGCTTAGATCCCCCCTCAGCTCCTTTGCAGGTTCTTTCTCTGGCATATGCTCATCCTGCAGGCAGTCTTCTTGGGCAGGTATCTTTCAAATAAGCTAAGTCTGGCTAGGTTCCAGGGTACCTAGTTTTCCAATGGGAAAGCTTGGCATTTTACCCCAAGAAACTTGGGAAGGGCAGACCACATGCTCTGAAGAACCCTCTTTTCATCCTGTTGTCCTGACAGTTCACACTATCCTTTAACTGTAGACTTTAAAAATATATATACTTTATTATTTATTTATTTATTTATTCGAGACAGAGTCTCACTATGTTGTCCTCAGTAGAGTGCTGTGGCATCACAACTCACAGCAACCTCTAACTCTTGGGCTTAAGCGATTCTCTTGCCTTAGACTCCCAAGGAGCTGGGACTACCGGCACCCGCCACAACACCTGGCTACTTTTTTTGTTGTTGTTATAGTTGTCATTGTTGTTTAGCTGGCCTGGGCCGGGTTTGAACCTGCCAGTCTCTGTGTATGTGGTTGGCTCTGTAACCACTGTGCTACAGGCACTGGGCCAGACCTTAGTTTTTAGAGCAGCAAGCCTGTTCTCCATACAAGAATTAGCCTTTTCTCTGCAAACTCCAGGAGACACTGTCTAATACTCAGAGCTGCCCCCTTACGGACCTCCCTTACTTGACTTTAGGTGGAAGGGAAATGCATCAGGCTTAACTTCACTTAAAATTCTCATTCCAAATGTTATGTCAAGCTCCTCATTTCCTCATATACTTTGCCGAAGCGGTAAACTAAAGCAAGAGTTTGGGCATCACTGACTCATAATTTTGCATAGATAATCTGGCACCCTTTGTCCTCTTCTTTCAGGGCTCAGCCAAGTTTCTGGGACAATTGGAAAACACGCATAATACACTGTTATGCTGTGAAGAAAAAACCTTTAGCAAAAGAAGAGTTAGGAAAGCATCCCTATTTCATATACAGCAGAACTCTGTAAGCTGAGTACCCAGGGGACTGTGACACACTGGGCAACATACGGGCGTGGTCAACATCAGGAACTAGGCCTGCGGTACTGACAC